TACTTTTGGAGGGCCACTTTGGAATTCAGGAAGGTTTTGGGGGGCCATCAAAATGTTAAACCAAGAAAGCAAAAGACAAAATCTAAAAATCAAATGAAAAATAATGAAATTCTTATTTAATTTTCGATCAAAGATAATAATAAAAATAAATGTTTTGTCTGCAACTAGATGAAGTTTGTTCACGGGCGATATGCTGCCTGTGGGTCATCATTATAGCCATAAGGTATACACTTGAGTGTATATATAAGTAAATATGGTTGAAATTGTATTATAATATATTGTATTATTACTCTGTAACTTAATAGTACTAGGTCAACTCACATTTTTAAAATCATCTTGCACATGGTCATACATTTGACGACCTTTCATATTATTTGTTTCCAGAAATTCCTTTTTTCTTGCAGCTATTAGAGCACTTGTTGTGGGTTTTACTTTAATTTGATTTTCCTGGAATAAATGAATAATTACTTTAGTATTATTAGAGTCTTAAGCTGGGTTACATAAAAAGTTGATTTATTAAATGATTCAAGAATCTTGGGTCACTAAATTATGTTTATGAGGACATTAGCTCACTAATGATTTGTTAAATGTTTATATAACTCAGCATCTCAGCATTAGAAATGCACAGATACCTATCATCTGAAAATTTTAATGTTTATAAGTTGTAATTATTATACTAGTATACATCTGTACCTACATTATGATGAGTTGTATAATAAAAAACTATACTTAAAAAATATTTTTGAAATTTACAAATCAAGTTAAAAGAATCTCAAAGATGAAAATCTACAAAACCTCAAGAGACACACTACAGAAACAAGTAACGCTGATTACCAACTAAGTGGACGATGTTAGGTAACAGCTACACATTTTTTTGGGAGATTTTGAGCATGTGAATCACCTACAGTAACCTTACCGGCTACCAGCATCCTTACCATTAGTTAAGTCGGCCGAGAGTCAAGAAGCAATACAATATCATTTGGTGGTTGCGGAGAAGTTATGAGACAGTAATAATTATACTGTCGTTAAAAACGTTCAATATAATTCACACAAACATAGTGAGTGCCTCAAGAATAAAATCGTCAAAAGGATAAAAAAAAAAACCAATTACGTTAAAACTAAAAAAGAAAATGTTATTATTTAAACGCGACAACGCGATGTACTTATCACATACTCGAGCAGACTAATCCCCAAAAATGACTGCTCTGCTTATCACCAATGATAGGCCGCGAACAGGCAACAGGGTAACCGATAACGGTCGAGATTCAGTGGTTCCAAAACATACACTTTGTTTCCGAGCGATTTGGCGGTAAAGTTCATTGTTTTATTATTTTTTTTATGTTTTTTAGGGTTTTGATTATTTGAAGCCCTGTCCTTTAATAAGTAATTGTTGAAAAATCAATAAATTACTGAGGTACACGCACCGCGCACACGGCACACTAACTGCAGTAACATGTAAACGTAGGGAAAATATTCGGAAAATAGAATATTATTAACATTTCAATTAATCCGACCAACTAAAAAGAAGCCAAAAATATTGCAAATCCATTAAATCGACTTCTGATAATGAATTAGCTTACGCGATGTAGCCCATACGAGACGACATTATTATAACATAATACTAAACTATTAAAACAAATTTAATATATATATATATATATATATATATATAGTCTTATTCAGTTAATTTTAGCTAACTAAGTAGGTAGGTACTTGGAGTTTGGACTAACCAATTTGTTAGTTGAGATTATTTCGACCATCTCATAATTTGTATAGTTGTTGTAGTGTAGTAAATCAGTTTTAGTTTTTTGGATTAGTCACTTGTCAGTTGTCACGTCATATTTTGAGAAAAGTGGTCGGCCCTCGACCAGATGACCTATTAACATAAGGTTTGGGTGGTTTGGCGCCAACGTTAGAATAGTAATAATTTTTTTTTTATTTGACATGGTTTATTAATTATTATCCATTTCAGTGATCCACTTGTAACCTACTGTACAGCAGAGTGACACTCACTTGCCCACCGTTTTTATTACGACAACATTTTAGATTTTGTGACACCGCTTTTGTTACTTTCGTTGAATCTATATGAGTTCTGTATTGTAAATTTGTTTTAAAATTTACCTAATTTTCTTCAGACATAAAAAAGATTTTAACTCTTCTTGAAATGAATAGTTTTGTACCAAATCTATTTAAAGTTATATTAAGTTTGGAGAATATATTTTCACAATTTAGGTACTTGTGAACCTTGTAATGTATGATGATGTAAATGTGTATGCAAAAAATTAATTTGTTCAAGCCAGTGTGTAAATTGTTATTGCATTAAAATTAAAACAACCTACAGGGCAATAATATTTAAATTATTATTATAAGCTTTTCTTTTTATAAATCTTTGCTCATATGGTTAAAATTGTTTCTTAAATATCATTATTTTTATGTGTTAACAAAGTGTTGACATTAAACCATTTCCGAGAAATGTGTTCTATTTCCGATACAAAACCGAAAAATCATTAGGATATTTATCTATAGGTTGAAAATTGCTGTCTGCTGATTTCATCCCATATGCCTATCCATAATATAATATATGATTCAATGATTCACTTACAAATACAGCACATGCATTTAAATAAACTTATAGCTAGGTACTATATGATAATTTAAATGTTGTTACTCATCACCAAATTTAATTAAGTCCATAACTTGGTTAGGTTAAGTTATCAAGATAATTTGTCATAGTTCTATAGCAGTGGCTTATATAATAATATTGTAAATAGTACTCTAATCATAAACTTCCGAGCTCTGGCCTCATTACAGACCACAATATAAAATGTATTGCAACCCACCTAGTTTTACTCTGTAGCTTGGTTGCTCAACTGGCACCCAATATCGCCTATTGACTATTGAGTATTGCCGTATTGGTATAGACTATAGGGTTAGGGTTAGGGTTAGACTATAGGGTATACCTATTCGATATAATATTATAATATTATAACTTACGAGACGAATGGACGCGAACGGATATAAAATTCTGAAACAGCTTATATTATTTAGTTACCTAGTTCAGGTATGAGAGATAAGGTAGTAAGATGACGGATGGACGCCGGATTACGTGACGATTGTTATGAAATATCAATCTAGTAGAGGTAGGTGGTAGGTACTAGGTAGGTATATGTATAATAATTAGCAGCTTATAAGTCATTCGGATTAAATCAAATTGAAACGAAATACAAAATATTTCTATGAATACTCACAATGAACATATCAAGAGATACGAGAACTATATGCGTAAATGTGTTGTCCCTAATAATTATTGTCTTCGTCTTAAAGCACTACAAACGTACTGTATTGCTAATTTAAAATGTTTGTTTTCCAGAACCAATATTATGTGTTTTTACTTTAAATTTTAATGTTAAAACGTTGCACCCGTCTTACAAAAAATGTACAACATAGCAAAAACTGTTTTGCCCTAGAAAGAACCGAGAACGCTACAGCCATAACTAAGAAACGAAATTTTCACCACATAAAAAGGAGAACTTTGGCTGTGCAATATCGTTTTTATTTTTTCGTTATCGGAACTTCAAAAAAAGTTATTAAAGTTTGAAAAACACAAATAATAATGGATTTTGAAACAATAAGAACTTTTTTCGTATAATTGATATTAATAAAATAAAAACATTAAAAACGATATTGCACAGTCAAAGTTCTCCTTTATATGTGGTGAAAATTTCGTTTCTTAGTTATGACCAGGGTTGCGAAGTGTTTAAAACAATTGGTTTTAAACGTGTGTTTTAAACGTTTTAAACATGACTCCTTGTTTTAAACATTTAATACATCAACGTTTAAAACATAACGTTTAAAACATGTTTTTTTTATAGTCTTTTAAAACAAAATTATTTATCTTATTTTCAAAAATTAATCTTGGATGTTGGTCACACTGTCATAGAAATTTTCATAATGATAATGTAATTCTTAATGATAATTATTGATAAAATGATAACTAAATTACGGTTAACGATGTCAATGATTCAATTTTTTTGTTAAATCCATGTTCGTGTTTATTATAATCTATAAAAATATTATCATTAACCATTATAATTTATAACTATTATTAACTAATAACTATTAAGTTTATTTAGTCATGCACTCATGTCTCATGAACCATATGGTATAGTCTACAATCTACATTTTACATTTACATTCGTTTTATACTTTTATACATAATGGCTTCAACGGGTAGAAGAAAAGATCCTGTTTGGAATTATTTTCTAGAAATAAAACCAAATGGTACTACTAAAGGTACTCGAGCGAAGTGTATAAAATGCAATTTTGAAATGTCTGGGCTAGTAGATCGAATGAAAACACATCTAAATAAATGTAATGTAGCTTCAATATCAAATGAAGTTCAAATCGATGAAGAACTAAGATGTTTTGATAATGATGGTATGTAAATTTAATACATGACTCTTTTGGCATAAATGACAAATGACAATTGATAATGTTGATATTTTCGTACAACCAATTTTTTTTCGCAAGTCATGTACTTTTCACTTGCAATTATAATATTATTGTCACTTATGGGTTATGGCCTACGGGCTATAACTTTTGTTACAATCGACTGTTTAGCCACATTGATTATTGTATTGCACTCTGTTTAATGTTAGTACTTATTAGCACTATCAACATTATCAGTAGACAGTAAGTCACCAAAATTGTATTAACTTGTTATTAATATCTAATGTTTTACTAATATTAATATAGATTCTAGAAGTTTAAGATTGCAAACTACTACTCATACCAATGATAGTTCAATGAATGTTGAAACTCGCGTAAAGCGTTTTTGTGCCGATACACCATCTACATGATCACAAATATCTACATCAATCAGTAAGTTTGTTATACGAACTAGTGATAAAGATAAAAAATCATTTGATGTACAAATTGCCAAATATATATATGCGACAAATTCGTCATTTGCTTTTGTTGAACATAAGGAGTTTAAAAAAATGATTCAGTTAATTCGTCCTGGCTACAAACCTCCCAATCGTGATCAAATTGGCAATAAGTTGTTAGATCAAGTGTTTAACGAGGTGGATGAAGACATTAAAAAAATTCTTAAAGGTAAAATTGTATGTATGGCAATGGACGGGTGGAGCAACATACACAATGAACCAATAATATGCATATCGGTGTACAATTTAGAAGATGAAATAGTATGTTTAATTGATACAATTGAGACAAAAGCTGAAAGTCATAATGCAGAGTATTTATTAAAATTAGCTGTTGAATCGATAAAAAAATGTAAGTCATATGGTTGTGATGTTCGCAGTATGGTTACAGATAATGCTGCTAATATGAAGAAAATGCGATTAGAACTTAGTACATCAGATTTGAGCTCTAATGAATATTCACATTTAGACATAATAACTTATGGTTGTTCATCACACATTTTAAATTTGCTAGCTCATGATTTAGAAGATACAGTTATTAAAAATAAGGTAAAACAAATTATTAAATATTTCAAGTTTCACCATTTTCCTGCTGCTAAATATAAAGAACTTGGTGGTTCATCTTTGGTACTTCCTTTTGATGTTCGTTGGAATACAATGTTTGACTGTCTGCAATCCTACATCGATAATTGGCCAATTTTATACAAAGTATGTGTTGATCATAGAGCAGCAATTGATTCTAAGATAACTTCTATGGTAATAGATATGAATTTGAAAACCAATACAGAAGCATTTATAGTCAAGTTAAAAAAATTGTCTTGGGCTTTAGATGTATCACAAAAAGATAATTGTACAATAGCAGATGTGGTTGAAATGTGGATTGATCTCAAAGATTTTTTTATAAACGAGTTTAGTACTGAAAGTGATGAATTAAAAATATTTGAGAAAAGGTATGATATGGCTATTCAAGATGTTCATTATTTAGCTAATATATTACATCCAAAATATAGAGGACAGAAATTAAATGAAGATCAACATGATTCAGCTTTAGAATATGCTAATCTTTATTTTCCAACTGCTATGTCAGAAATTATATCATTTCAAGCTCAAACTAGCCCATTTAAAGGATACTTATTCAGTGACAATGCAATAAAAAATATTTCAGCTCTTATATGGTGGAAAGCATTAATAAAACAAAATAAAATTTCCAAAGATTTAACATATTTAGTAGAGCAACTTTTCACATCAATTTGCAGCTCTGCCGGTATAGAGAGACTTTTTCAACCTTTGGTTATGTCCATTCAAAAACTAGAAACCGTCTTGGAGTGGAAAAAGCTTCAAAACTTGTAACAATTTTCAAACATTTAAATAAACCAAACAAAGAATAAGCTGCTGCCATTTCCCAGCTATACATTTTATTATTTGTTTAAGCTTTTTATTTAAGAATTTGTTGTTTTGTTTTATTTTTTATTATAAGTTTAAATTTTAAAACTATTGTTATATAATATACAAACACTAAGTCAGTATCTAATTTACTAAAGACTGAATTGACACTTAAGAAAAAAATAAAACTTAGGTTGTCTCCTATTCCTATATTATTAGTATTTATTATATTGTTTTTAAAAGAACTAATTGTTTATTTTGAAATATTTATCTTACATTGTACTAAGAAATAAGTTTTCATTAATTTTGATTTTTATATGTTTTTATGATTTTATTTTACTTATTATAAAGTTTGTAAGAATAAAATAAAACAGATTTATTGATGTTATTAGTTGTTACTTGTTAGTTTGTTACCTAAAATTATAAATAATTTGTAATATTGATGATGATTGATGAATAATTATTTTTATGTTGACCCTTTTTATGTATACTGGTAGTTGGTACTCATAAAGTTTTAAGTCATAACTCATACTGAACGTTATTATCTATTTAATAGTCAATGAAAATTTTCTTCTTATTATAATTCATTTATACTTATTTGTTATGGCTTATGGGTATTACTCATTACTCATTAGTTATTAGTTATTGACACTTATATAGTTATATCTGCAATGAAAGTCTGTAAATTATAATCCTCTTTAGTTCTGTTAATGTTACAAAAAATACAGTTTTAAAAAAGCAAAATATTTTTTAAAAAACCCTAGTTTAAAACAAAAAAAACAGTTTTAAACAATGTTTAAAACAAACAAACTAACTAACAATAAAAAACTGTTTCAATCATAAAAAACATTGTTTTAAACAAAAAAAACGGTTTTTTTGTTTTTTTTAAAAAAAACTGTTTTTTTTGCAACCCTGGTTATGACTGTAGCCTTCTTGGTTCTTTCCCTCGCCAAAACGTTTTTGCTATGCTGTACGTGTGTAAGACGGAGACAACATATGCGGGTACAACGTCCTCTTCAAGGAGTTGTTCTATTATGAACTTAAAAGTTAAGAAAATTATCTGTGATTGTATGTTACGACTTATGGTAGGTATTTCAATAGTTTCATGTGAGATGACTGTTATATGAGCATGTAAAAATGTTAAATAATTCGCTTTAAAATTAAAATATCATAAAAAATCTATGTATTAACTCAGATAATATTCTACATTTAAACTTTGGTAATAATTAATAGGTCTATTAGGTCAATTCATTCTAATATTAAAATTTAAAGCTAACTTACAACCTTCCTAACTAACATGGTTCTGCCAAACGAAAATTGTTTGTATGACAGCTGAGACCACATTATGTCTTGTATAGTAAGTTTATCCGCTCTCACATAAGTTTATCGAAATATTTTTATCTATAACAACTGGCCAAATTTATACCATCCAATGTAGTACCTACCTCTGTACAATCGTACAATTAATGTAGTGCTTGTGCATAACCCCACAGTTGTATGACATTAACATTATAGGTAGGTAGTAGGTGGGTAGTAAGTAGGTAGCTAGGTAATGGTACCTACTAGTACCTACCTATAATTACATCACAAATAAATATTAATTCTTATAGTGTGCACTAATGCATGCATTAATATTGTACATCGGTACCTATGACGTAAAATATTATAATTTCTAAAGTGTATTACCAACAAAGTAATCGAAGACTCTTCTTCGGTCTGGTTGGTCAAAGTTCTCGACATCGTCATCATTTTTATTATTAAAAAAAAAATATTTGATTATATTTATAGTTTTTATTTTTTCAAAACGACGACGACGTATTTTTTTACAAATAGACGAGTTTATTTACAATCAGTATAAAATGTGACTGACGAATCTCCACTGATACAGGACTGTGTCTCGACTGTAACAAACGTTATACCTACCGGCTACAGCTATGCCTATACTTGTATAGATGATATAAATAGAAAAAAAAACAACGTGAATAAAAAAAATATCGTACCGTGAAGTTAGTCACACTATATAAACATCTTTGTATCATAATATTATTGTATTATTATACATAAAATATTCACGCACGGCATTGCATTGATACCGGTATTTTCGCCATAATATGCGATGTAAGGAGGCGAGAGTGTGGAACCGCTCCAAACAAGGAAACGGCCAAATACGTCTCGTCCCGCCGAGTGATATTTCCTTAACAGATAAAAGAAAACATAATACGTGTAAAAATTCAATTCGACTTGTTCCATATTCACGCATATAGCCATATAGGTAATATATTATATTTTACATTAGAATAGGTAGGTACTTATTGTCGTTTTATAATTTATTGTGATGCCTATATAATTATAATAAACTAAAATACTTGTGTATTAATGTATATATTTTATATTATGAGATAGTAACTAGTAATAATATTTTTAGTGATTTTATATTAAATATATTATTATTCAGTGTTGTATAAAAAGTACTCATAATACTCCTGTAGTAGTTTTCAAATACCGAACTTCTACAGCAGTTGACACCTATATATGAACGAAAATTATTTAGTTCTTATTTATGTAATTATGTACCTACGAAAAACAGCACTGCTTCAGAAAACCACTACACCCACCAGCGTCCTGCTTACATTAATACATTATAATATTTTTTATATATTTATTGTGTATATAAAACAATACCTAATATAGATGTGTATCTAAAGTGTATACGGTATGACTCCCGATAATCCTAAATAGGGACTTATGGCTTATAGTTAAGTACCTGCAGGTGGCAGGCCCAAAAAATTGTAAATCAGGTTCTGGTCTTCTGGAGCCTGAAGTCCTAAGTACCTTGAAAGTTTAATCCCGTAGACTGAAATTCTGTTTGTTGGTACTTTTTAATTTGATTAATAACTAAAAAGTTTTGTTCGAACACGTAGCTTCGACATATTCTCTCCTAGGGGTGCAGCGGACGGCGGACGCTCTCGAGGTGGAGTACCCACTCCTCCGCCGTCCAGCGCAGGCCGTTGGCCGTTGGCCGTGCTGTGCCGCCAGCCGTTTTGTTGTCTTTTTCCAGCGGCCAAGCTTGATGTAACGTCGCGTCCGCTCGCCGCCGCCGTCTGCTGTGTCCCGGCAGAACCAACGGGAACGGACGACGCCTACCAACTATAGTGTTGTGCTAAGTCGTCGTTCCGTTCAGTGCAGTTCGCACGTACCTGTTTGTACGTTCCGTTGTCATAGATCCCGCTTTTGGGTCTCCAGGCCGCATTGACCATTGCTTTGCCGTTCGCTGTTGTATCGTCGCGGATTGTCACCCGTTTGTTGCTGACGGTACCTCACGGTGCGCCGGTAAGCCGTTTTGAGGTCCTTGTCAATTGATTCGTGTTGCCGCGTTTACACGCGTGTTTGCCGATCGTTACAGTGCTTAACCGTGGTTCGATGGCCGCCGAAAATCCCGTGTCCAAGTTGTGCTGACGGTGCCTTCGTCGGCCGTTAATGATTGTCGATTTCTACTTTTTGGCATCCGCGTAAAATCACACACATTGCGCGCCGCGGCGCTGTCACAGTGTCACCGCCTTAGACCACAAGCGGTCGAGTATCGTGAATTCGTGACTGCTCAAAGCTCAAACCCTGCCGTCGCCGTTCCAGCTGAGGACACAGCGAGGGGACTGAGACGACGTGAGCGAAGCGATAGTTGACGTCACGGCTCAACCGCGGCTGTGGTTATATTACTTATTGTGTTGAGTATTACTATTTGGTATTTATCATTGTTTATTGGTACTAACACTAGCTGTTGCGTCTTAAGGCCCCCATACAAATGTGTATGTGTCAAATAAATTTGCTCAACCGACTGTGTTTGTGCACACATTTTGAGATGTGGTTTGAGGTTTGCGCAACGGTTTGATCTGTATTTCGGTCGGCATCGAAATTTTTGCCCAAACATGGTTTTTGCACAAATTGTTTGAAGTGTATGGGGGGCGCTTAACTCGGGGCTATCAATGTTTTGTCTGAGTGTCATTATAATTATTTAAACTGTTTATTACGGCACGACGTGTAATAGTCACTGCTGTTCATTTAGATGGCTAAAGCCAATTTTGTATCTTAGCATTTAAGAATCTAAGGGCGCCCGATTTAACTAGGTATTTATTTATGATCTGTATAATTATTATTTTCAATTTATTATATTCGTGCGCTCAGCGCCTAAACCTAGTTTGAGTTTTGTTTGTTTACGAACTGCACGGTACACCTTTCCTCAATACATCGCGAGTCGGTATCGCCAACCGCCTATTTTGTAGGAACGATATCAGCGATTATACAAGTTTATTATTTTCATTTTACAATATTGGACGATATTGTATAATATGACTCGTTATCTTAATATACATAATATATTTCTTATGTCCATGTGTAAGTATCCAACTCCTAGGTCCTCCTAAATTCCTGCACCCATTTCGATGAAATTATTTGTGTGTGCTTGAGCCTTGAGTGAGTCCTTGAATGGTTTGGATTCACAATTAGACCAGGTAGGCCCAATCCGGTGAGGTGCTCAAACAGGGATTTTTAGATTTACGTTGGAAATTTTTATTTATAAATGGTTGCTACTGTTTACAATAGTAAATTTCATAATTTATGTTTATTTTTTTTTTAACATTTATTAGGAGATATAGGTACAATCTGTAATATTATTTACAATGAGCATATATGAGCGGAATTTACAACGACTGTGACGGCGTGAGGGGAGTAGCTACCCAGCAGTAACACTCGACTACATTTAAATAAAACAAATATTATATGGGATTTACGCATGAAAAATATTTCTTAAAAAACACGGTAAAAAGTTCAAACGTAAAAAAATAAATATTATTTATATAATATATAGATAGTAGATAGTTTCATTATTATTTATAATAATATTATCATTACAAAATGCTATCTGGGTACAATCATTTTATAATCATTTACAACCACAAAGCGTAAACTTTTTG